TTGGGTTCGTACATACATGAGTAGGGAGGGTCGTACTAGACATACTCTATATATATATATATATATATATATATATATATATATAGTATAAGAGGTCACAATTACTTTTAGGGAAAAGTTTATATAAAGTTGCAACCTTAAAATGTAGAATTACATATGCACCTCAAAAATCTATCGAAAACGTTGTTTTAGTATTGAAAGGCCCTCTAATTGATCATCTCGACATCGAGATGTATGAATATTAAAAAAAAATTGTTTTTGAGTCCCAAAAATAGTGTATCTTGCAACACATTATCTAGTCCATCTATTTTCAAGATTTTCATATGTTTATAGATCTACTTGATTTTAACCATTTTTGGAGTTTAAAATTTTCTAAATAGATATGAAAATAAATTTTAAGATAACCCTAAGATTTTTTTACAACAAAATTCCATGTTATGATAAAATTTGGGTGTGCACCTTAATTGGATTGTTTAAGGTTGCGACCTTAGAGAAACTGCACTCTTACTTTTTAACCATTGAAAGTAAAATTCAATTCGTAAAAGTATCACAACATTCAAGAAATTTTGTTTTGCACTTTGTACCCAATCAATTACACATCATCAAGCCACCCAATTTCAAATATAATCTTCAATGATGATCATGACCCGCTTTTGTCGAAAATAAATGGTCTCATAGATATTTCCATATATATGTGTGTGGAAAATAGAGCGCTTTTTCTTTTATATGGTAACCCAATTCCACCCATTATATGAAACTTGAATTTATATGTATTGCACACATCACATATAGAATGGAGTCCCTGTATACAAAATTTCAAGGACTCTATATGCACAAACTATCTGCCAAGCCCACGTATATCATGAGCATGCTATACACTTGCTCCCTCTTGCCAAAGATCTAATTGATAAGATCTTTTCAATCTGAAATTTTTTTGATCCACCTAAGAATTACTAAATGGTAACTCTCGATTTTGAGTTATTCAACACTTAAGGGGGTCTCTCTTCACTCTCCAGACACTATTTTATTCAAGGACAGAGAAAATACAACATGCAGAATTACTTTTCTGCGAGTTGGAATATTTGTGGGAATTCCGACTGAAGAGGCGTCAAGCCGAGCCATTTATTATGCCAAAAGCTATTCGAACACCATGATTGGGCCTTGGGCCCAAGAACTTAAGAGGCCTTGGGCCCAGCCACACGAGTTCAAAGGTCACAGAAACATCTACCCTAACACTAACAACCATTGAAAAACTGGGACATTTACCATGTGCAATGTATACTTATCCTGAAATCCCTCTCTCCCGGAAAAAGAAGTATGGGAAGTCCATGAGAAGGAAAAACTCTATGATCCATCTGGTCATAGTAAGAATATGCTAATGGGAATAGGAACGGTCAAATCAATGAGTTGGAAGGTGATAGAAGGAGTTTGGGAGATACAATTCAACTAATGACATGTATGGTGGGGCCCGCTTCCCCTCCATTACTGTGCAAACCGATTGATGGAACAATGATGACAACATTGACCATACTATTACAAAGATTATGGGGGTTATATAACACTTCCCCACATGAAATGCAGACGGGTGTGGCTTTTATAAGGTTGCAACCTTAAACAATCCAATTAAGGCGCACCTCCAAATTTTATCATAATACGTAATTTTGGTGTAAAAAATATTTAGGATTATCTCAAAATCTATTTTTATATCTAATTATAAAATTTTAAACTATAAAAATGGTTAATATCAAGTAGAGCTATACACACATGAAAAACTTGAAAATGGACGGTCTAGATAATGTGTTACAAGATGCACTATTTTTAGAACTCAAAATCTTTCCTTTGTTTTTCATATTCATACATCTGAATGTTGAGCTTATCAATTAGAGGGTTTTTCAATATTAAGACAACCTTTTCCGATGGACTTTTGTGGTGCATCTTTAATTCTACATTTTAAGGTCGCAACCTTACATAAACTTTTCCCAATGTGGATTGACTATACTTAATACTAAAATCAGAAGAACATATAAAAGCCATCCGGTAATGCAAGCTAGCAGTAACAGCTTGATCTTTAATCTCTTCTCCATAATCATAAATAATGGCTTTGAAAACCACCTCATAGATTTCAAGACATATCAACCAAAAGCAAGAGCAATCACAGAATTCTAAGCAAAACTCAAAACAACCAGGAAGAAAATATTAATATGAAGTAGAACGAAGCTAAACAGTATATTTTCGAAATGCCTTTTTTTATTTTTATCATCACTATCAGTGTTACACGACTCATCCCAGTCGGACTCCAGCTACTAGCTCGGCCGGTGACCTACCCACAGTTGTGTGTGCGACGGGGGTGGGGTGGGGTGGGGAGGGGGGGCGGGGGGGATGTAAAAAATGTGGGATTTTTGTATAAAATTTTATATATCATTTGGATGGTTTTGAAAAATATTGGTGATTTTTTTTTTTTGCGTAATACCTACATTCATATTTTATTTTTTATGTCTTTTTTAAAACTATAAGTAATTTTTTTTTAAATCCATTTTTCTTTTCTTTTTTTTTAAAGTTTATTTGGAGTTTAGAAGGTTGTGTTTGATTTTATTTAACTTTTAGCAGTTTTATTTTATTTTTCAATTTTTCTAGTTTTTTTTAAAATGTATCTAAGCTTTTGGCCCTATACAAGACTTGACCGAGTCTAACTACCCTAGGCCAAGGGCCAAGTCCCTTTGCCGAGGCGATCTCCCATACACTTGTATTTTCAACCTGCTAAAGACGCCCAAATCACCATAAAGATAATCTGTGTGATACGAATGTTCCTTTATTTGATGTAAAATGTGGTCTCTGGAAAGCACGTTAAACCAATCTAGCTTCATTTTTATAAACAAAACAGTCTTGATCCATAAAATCAGCCAAGATACACCATAGTGAGTTCTTTAGAACTCACTAGATAAATCAAAAGCATTTTGACAGAACACTTACAAGAAGTAGCTCTCTCTCTCTCTCAAAGAACCATGAGAAGCCAAATGCCTTCACAGATGAAAATGGACCAGAACATTATGCAGCCTTCTTGCTCTTGTATCGCCCAGCACAAGCAACATAGACCACCAGGTTCAGGAGGCTAAGTCCAGCCAACAACCAGAAGAAATAATCGAGGTGACCCTCATTCAAATTATTGGGTATCCATCCAGGACTTCCCCCCTTCGTTGTAACGGCTATAACAATGCTTAAAATGAAAGAATTCAAATAAGAACCCACAGTAGAGGTGAGGAGAGAAAATGCACTGTACAAGCTTCGCAAAGCATCAGGTGACTGGTCATAGAAGAACTCTGTTTGCCCAATAAAGGTGAACATCTCAGCTGCCCCAACAAAAAAGTACTGAGGAATTTGCCACAAAATGCTCATGGGTATAGGAGTCGACGTGTTGTACACTAGATCGTTGTCTCTAGCGATCTCTAACCTTCTGATTTCCACCAATGCGGCTGCTGCCAGGGCAAATAGTGATATGAATAGGCCAATACCCATTCTTTGGAACTCAGAAAGACCCCTCTCATTGCCTGTAAATTTCCGAGCAATTGGGACGAATACTCGATCATAGATTGGGACCAAAAAAATGACACTGATCATAACAAAGACAGAGAGAGAAGCAGGAGGAATAGACAAGGACCCAAGACTTGTATCCAAAGTCATTCCCTGTTCAACAAACGTGGTAAAAATCTGGCAATAAACAACAGGGAGGGCATTAAGTGTTGCCCAAATTGGAAACACTCGGAACAGTATCTTCAATTCCTCAACTTGAGTTACACTGCAGAGCTTCCATGGATCAGATAAGTTACCAGTTTTAGCATCGAAATCAGATATTGTGGCAGCTTTATCAAAGAACCTGAAGAAGAAAAAAACAGTTAGCAGGGCAGGATGCAAAATCAGTCATGTGAAAACATCCAACACCAAATTATTGCAAAGTTTACTACATGCTTAAGATGGTGAGCAATTCCATCAGTCTCTTTGTGGTAACGTCTTAAGCATGTGGCAATATTAGAAACGGCAAGCTTATAGTATAACCTAGTGAAGTATGCAAAACTATAGCCCACTAGGGTCATTGCCATCCAGTAAATGATGTCCATGAGAGGGACAGAGAGAGAATAAAATAAGACATGAGCCTAATGGTGGATTCTTTCTCCATCCCACCTCATCAGACAGTCATGACCCCACGATCCATTGAAGTTGTAAATTGACTTCTTCGAAGCCGATCTAGTGTCAAATATAAACAGTGTAATTAAAATAAGTGCAAGTGAAAAGTGTAATACTTGAATTCATCAGTATGCTCCAATTTCCGACTCCCTTGGATAGCCGAGTTATTGTCTGGTACCTCAAATAGGAGAGAACTATCATCAGGGACTTTGATATTCAACTTACGAACCGATGCAACTACAACTTGACATGTTCTAGTCAGTGGGTTTCTTCCTGGCTTCTGAAACCTATATATCACTGTGCCTGCAAGGAAGCTTCCAATAGCAAGAACCATGAAAACAGTAGGAATTCCAAACCCTAAACCCCAACCAGCATTGTCTTGAATCCAAACAATAAGGCTACTTGAAACAAGAGAGCCGACACTGATTGAGAAATAAAACCAATTAAAGAATGAACACTTTTTCACCCTCTCCATTGGGTTGGTATCATCAAATTGATCAGCTCCAAAAGAAGACACACATGGCTTAATGCCTCCGGCCCCTAGTGCAATTAGATAGAGGCCACAGTGGAAGAAAGCATACTGAAAAGGACTTGGAGAGGGGCAAACGCTTCCAATACAAGAGGGAGGCTTGAAAGCAGCAACAGAGGCAGAAAGGGTCAGTGCAGCCATTCCCTACAAAAGAGAATGGCATCTTCCCATTATCTGAAGCACCAAGAAAGAAATTCAATTTAACACAGAAGACAGATGTTCACAAAATAAAATCCTTCTCTCTCTCTCTCTCTCTCTCTCTCTCTCTCTCTCAAGCTCACATATCTTATCCTTTGTAGTTTGTACCAATTCCCTTGGTGTGTCTACATGTCCATCTCCACACCCTATGACAAAATTATATAATTTACCAAAACCCATCACATGATAAAATATATCCAATTCCCTTATCTTCATCTCTGTCACTCTCTTATGATTCTCTACTATACGACCAAGCATAAGGGCTTTCTCTCCCCCAAACGATATTTTTTTTGTAAGAAGCAATTAAGAAAATTCTTAATAATTATCAAATGAAAAAAGAGAATGAATTAATGGGAAAGTTGGATTTTCAGTGATTCATACGTACAATGAAGTAAATTGTAGAGAACAGCGCAATTGTCCAATATCTTCCCCAATATGCATCAGCTAATACACCTCCAAGAAGGGGAGTGAGGTAACATGTGCCTTGCCAAGTGCTAATATTTCGGGCAGCAGATGCATTGCTTTCATGAAGGAATTTAGTGAGATAAGTAACCAAATTTGTAGCGATTCCATAATAGGCCAGGCGCTCACAGCACTCTGTCCCTGTACAAACTCAGTTGATAATGACAAGCCTATTATAGACAAATAAAGAAAAGAAGGAAGTACTGAGAAGTTTACTGAAACCATGGTTTTAACAAGGAATACCTAAAATAAAGGAGCAAGCTCTCCACTTTCCTGTATTATGCCTCAAGACAGGGTATCCATGAAGGTCAACCGATCCATCCCCTGTGTATGGTTCTAGTCTTTCATCCTAGGTACCGGAAATAAGGAAATTAGAAAACTAAAATATAAAAAGAAAATACAGGTTTTTTGTATCCAAAACTCAACTTAATGCTTTCCATTCACTTTCCAATAAAGCATAAGTTCCATTAATTGGCCAAATAAGGGGGACAACCCATTCAAGATATAATTCCATGAAAGAAAATAATCCTCACATAAGAAACACAAAAATAATTCATATATCAAAAGAAATAAATAAATAATACATCACAACACAGTGCCATCAAATGTCCACCCATGCCAAACAACATATGAGATCCATTAATCCCTATAAGGCCACTCCACCATTACAGCTCTCACTAGATCCTATGACTCCTCAGGACACTCTCTACCACATATCTTCCATAGTGAAGAGGAGAAAGTAAACTGACCAGCCACTTTCGTACTCCCAGTAGTACAAATCTCACAACCAAAAAGACCCATCATCACTGATAAGTGACGGGCTGTTTTCTTAGATTTTAGTTGTTTTTTTTTTAGCTTTCAGAAAAGTTAAGGTCTAGTTATCAAAAAAATGGAGAATATCTTTCCTAGATTCTAGGAATGACCTTTAGTGAAAACAGAAGTGAACATCTTCTTCAACTTCACCCATTATCAAACAGTTATTTCACTATCTTCATGCTCTCCTCAAAGTTCTTGGTAGACATTTTTATACACTACTGTACTGTTATAACTCAAAAAGATCCAAACTTCTGATAATTCATTCCTTTTACAGGCAGATGAAGAAAATGGAGGTTCATTGCAACTTCATTCAGAGGAAACGTATAAAAGGTGCTAAATCTTTCAGCCATATCTCTACAGCACATCAGTATTGGGACTTGATTAAAATTGACATAAGGTTTGGTAAACATGGTGCAAAGTGACTTGATGAGAAGTAGGCTAGGACAATACCAAATAATACCAACCTCGCCAAATGTCTCCTTAATTGGTTTAGCCCAAACAACAAGTACTTACTTCTAGAGCTACAAATGGAGGAATAAGAATCAACATATTCCTTGGCAATTAACAACATGGAAGCCCCAGGAGCGCAACTATGTTACTTAGAAGCAATTTCCCACTTTCATCAGCAATCAATGGTCATTCAATCTTAAAGCATAAAAGGGAAATAGAGAAGAATTCTTTGTTACATAATAAAGCAAAGCAATTCCAAGTTTAGTTGAGTTACAACCCCATACCCTAAGTGGAATTTTATGAATCCTCATATGTTTCTCAGAAATAATCGGATAAATCGCATAAGGATAGATATCAAAGATCAAATTACTCTGAGAAATTTGGGAAAATCCTTTAGGCAAAAAAGAATGCTGAATACCTCCAAGCAAAAGAGCAAAACAAACAGATAGTCAAGCAGAATTCAGCTAAACTAAACTAAGAAAAGCCATAAAAAAAACAAAGATAACGCCCAAAAACATAATCAAGTAACACGCAGACAAACAAAGAGCAAGAGAGCGTGAGAAAGAGAGAGATTGTGTTTGGGTCTATTAAGAAATGGGCTTTAAGCAAATGTATTTAGGGTGGCAGGCGCAACAACACGATGTATAGAGTTCCATTTTCACTAAGTCTTAAGTAAACATTTGACCAAAAAAGAAGAAGAAGAGAGTACAAGATTGCCTCCATGCATTTAGATAAATCGGATTCATAAGAGGCAGTAAATGGATAAACTAAAAACCAAAACCAACAACTACATTGCAAACTGGAAACTTGAGAACTCGAAAAGAAGATAAAAAATAAAAATTCTGACATTTAAAGCTCCATCTTCAAGCAGAGATGCATCAAGCAGCTTCTCCTCCACATGACAACCCATCACAGCAAAAATTAAAAGAAGCCAAGTCTCCCAAAATTCTGAAGAGATTTAAATCAAAAGTAAGCATAGCAAGATAGAGAGAGAGAATATTAGGTGGGGGTCCTGATTGGAGGCTGGTGTGCAACTTGAGAAGAGACGTCAGCATTCAAAAAAAAAAAAAAAACAGAGAGTGAAAGAGATGCGATAATTGTTAATGTTGATTTGAGTGCCTAGTAGTGAAGTGGTAAGACATTCCGATTCCCTGCTAATATAAAATGTGGGGGCGATAAATACAATGATTTTTCTAATTAATAAACAAATACTTAGAGCACCAAATTCCAACAGAAAAACGCAATGGTTTAAAAAACGGATCGGTGATTGGGATCGGGCTTCTAAAAAATCGATCCGGATCGGCGAATCGACTATCCGGATCGGGAATCGGGTGAATCAGTCATAATAAAGCTTAAAAAAAATCTGAAAAAAATTATTAAAATTCATTATAAATATTGTTTTTTAGGAATTCAATAAGAAATGAGGGTACTCCATTAAGAATTTTCATGTTTTTGAATGAATATGCGAATATTGATATATTCTTTCCCTGCATGAACCGCCATTCAGCATTTAATTTACATCACACAAAAGGATAAACATATAATTATCATGGAATAAGTATATCAACATACATGGACTGCAATAAAGCATAAAATTAGTAACATATGATCTAAAAATAAAATGATAGACGACGTTATTGTTCTTCTTGGTCACGTTGGTGCCATTGATTGAATTCGTTTAACAATTCATTGATTCGATCTAAAAATGAATCATCGATATTAGCAGGCGTCTGACTATTTTCAAATCCTTGAGTGTTAGTGTTTTGTTGTGTTCCCAATCTAAAATCCCCGAAGATTGTCCATCCTTCATGCTCACTTGCACTGTCGTGGTCATCCCTACACTGTTGCTGTTGGGACGCGATATGTGAATAATATGGTTGGGATAGGGTGGCCTCAGAATCATCATCTCTCTCATTTTCTCTTTGAATAATATGGATTAAAAAAAATAT